GGTGGAACATCTTTAAAAGATAAAATACACAAAATTATGCTGAGGTAATTAACTGATAGCTCTTATCTCATTCATAATTATTTTTTACAAAAAATATTCGTTTAATGATTTTAGAAAAAAATTATTTCACAATGAATTCAATTTAAATATTTGAAAAATTATTATTCATTTATAATCATTTCACAGTTATATTATCTTTTAAAAATTTAGAATATTTTCAAACAGTTTTATGGCCACCATGAGTATGAAAGGCAAAAATGGCAAAATTTGTTTTAAGAACACTAATTTATATGGCGTCGTTAAAGGTATATCTTTATAACTTATGTGAAACTTTTCAATTTATTATATTATTTTAAATCTTCCTTTTTTAATTTTTACTTTATATTTTCTTATTTTTACAGCTTCTACTATTAAATACGATGGAGCGACAGAAAATTTGATTAATGGAGTATTGTCTGATTTCCTAAAATACGCTCCATTTCGAAAAGGTGGCGGTAAAGAAAAGAAATTATAAATTTTATTCAAATATATGTAATATTTAAATATATATATATATATATCATAAAGAATAACATAAAGAGTAACAAATATTATCTCTTTCTTTACTAATATGTCTAACTAAAAATAGTCTAACTCTAGACTATGAGTATATTTAATACGCATAATATACATTTATAGTCCAATAGAGTTGTACAGCAACTATTGGATATGTATAATAAGTTTCAATGGTGATCAAAGTTTTTATCATCGGATAAGGATAAACGCTTTAATAACGTTCAATTTACGTTGAAACAACGTATATGGGCAAAATATATTAATATATTTTGTCACGATTGTGTCAATTGAAGGTCGATTTAACGTTTGGATATAACGTTAATTTAACGTTGAAAAAAATTCATTCTAAACGGTGTTTCAACGTAGATTTAACGTTCTTGTAACTTATTTTGCGTTGATTTAACTTTAGAACCTAACGTTGATTTAACGTTGATAAATCAACGTTGAAAAAAACTTTCATTCTAAACGTTAAATCAACGTAAATTCAACGTTATTGTAACGTTTTTTCGCGTCAAATCAACGTTGATATAACGTTTGAACCTAACGTTGATTTAACGTTGATAAATCAACGTTGAAAAAAACTTTCATTCTAAACGTTAAATCAACGTAAATTCAACGTTATTGTAACGTTTTTTCGCGTCGAATCAACGTTGATATAACGTTTGAACCTAACGTTGATTTAACGTTGATAAATCAACGTTGAAAAAAACTTTCATTCTAAACGTTAAACCAACGTTAATTCAACGTTAGGTTTCAACGATATTTCAACGTTATTTCAACGTTATTTGCCGGCTGGGTAGTGTTAAGTCATTGAAAAAGTTAAATCAAATCAAGATCCAATCTCGTTCAAAAGCATTATCAAACACACGTCTGAAAGACGTAATAATAAAATTACTAAAATACTTATACGCTTATAAATATGAATATAAATTAAGATGTCTGTTTAGCATTATGCTTGCAATTAATTCTTATGAAAATTTGCGTAAGACGACATCTGCGTGTAGTTTGCAACTGATGCTTTCCTGGTATAAAAACGTTCAAAACACGTAAGTATAAAAACATACATATAGTGATATAAAATCTTTTAAGACATCGTACATAGGTGTTATTGAATATGTTATCCTCATAATCGTATTGAATATGTTATCCACATAATCGTATTGAATATGTTATCTACATAATCGTATTGAATATGTTATCCACATAATCGTATTGAGTAAGCATCTATGCATATTTCAGATACTTTTAGTTAAATGTATTCCTGTTACTAAAGTGCATTTTTATTTATGCAATTGAATGGATTTACATTATTAAGTATCAAGATGTTAAACAAAATTTAAACTTAAGAACTTACTTTCATAATACTTTACTTTTATAAATATTTGTAAAATATAATCACCATGTTATATTAAGCGCTATTTACATTTCACCTATATCTATGACTGTGTATGATCGCAAGTTTTATGCTGATTCAGAATCAAATATAACTTACGTTTGAAGTAAAAAGGAAACTATGTGTATGATTAAACTACATCAAGATCCAACTACACAAGACAAACCCAAACGAATTATAAATTGATTTTATTGGCAATTAAAAGACGCAGCTAATTTTAAACCTTTAATATGCCAAAATCCATTAGTCTTTCGTCTGATTTTAACCCCGTATATATATATATATATATATATATATATATATATATATATATATATATATATATATATATATATATATATATATATATACATATATATATATACATATATATATATATATATATATATATATATATATATATATATATATATATATATATATATATATATATATATATATATATATATATATATATATATATATATATATATATATATATTCCTATTCTGTACATATATTAATCCCTATTTCTATAGCTATTCCTATAGTAATAGAGAAAACTTCTTTAATTGTAATTTTTATAGTATTTTTAAATGTCAATAACAATGCGGTAAAAACTAAAAAAAAAAAAAGTGGTTTGTGGTAAAGTTATATTAATTAATTTAAAGACTCTTAAACAAACGTAACTAAATTGCACAGCGAATATAACTTGTAAGAAAATTTTAAAAAGTACATTCTTAATTTGTTTTGGAAAAAAGGAAAAGAAAAGAATATATATATATATATATATATATATATATATATATATATATATATATATATATATATATATATATATATATATATATATATATATATATATATATATATATATATATATATATATATATATATATGTATATATATATATTTTTTTTTTTTGAATTAATTTTACATTTGTTGGTCGTATTACAACTATATATTGCCAAAAAAAAAAAATAATAATAATGATAATAATAATAAACTTTCACAAATATAAAATAAGGTATCTGAAAGAAGATCAAACGATCTTGTCGTCAGAACCTTATATAAGCTCAAACAAGCATTAACAGTATCAAATTTTTACAAATTTCATATATATATAATCCAAATATATATTATATAATCCAAAGAGAGATCACGTGGATCTACTCACCAATATTTTATATAAACGTAAACGTTAAGTAAAGAATATAAAATCAACAAAATAAGTAAGAATAAACTTTTTACAAATGTAAATAAGAAAGGTAAAGTTATTAATTTATATTGTTAATAATAACATAATACGTTTTCTAATGAAAAAATTACGGTTTTTTAATTTACTTTTAAAAAAACGAAAAGTAATGGGTAGTTCGAAATCAAAATTGGGCAAAACAATTTTATTCCAAAGGTGTGATGCCCGATAGGCAATACAAAATTGATTAAAGTTTGTTTGACAGAAAGGTTCATTTAAAAAATCAGTATTTCTCAAATTGTATTTGTTGATGGGTTTCGGAGTAAAAATATCTTTGAAGACAGATTGAGACAAGTCATTTTTCCACATGTATACATAGCATAAAACATTATATATATTTAGCTCGTATATATTTAAAATTCTCATTTCAATAAAATAATGTTTTGCGTGAGAAAAGCGATTTGCAAAGCAGATTAAACGGATAGCATGTTTCTAACGGCGATAAAGACGTTGCAACTTACTTTTTTCTGTACTACCCCAGGCGATATTAAATAACTGTGTATAAATGAATAATAAAGTTTGATTAAAATTTTCTTATTGAGGTAGATTCGTGCTTTATATAAAACTCCTTGTTTTTTATAAAGCACGTTTTTTGAAATTTTAGTGCTTATGTAGTCGATATGATGATTCCAAGTGATGTTTTCATCAAGATAAACACCTAAAAATTTTGTTACGGAATCCCTTATTATTTCATTTGATCAATAAAAATTTTAGGTAAGTTTAATGGCAAATACCGTTTTTTGGAAAGCGAATGGAATAAGGTCCACTTTTTTTTATTAGAGTTTAGAGTTAACTTTACATTTAAACCAACTCGATACATGTATAAGCTCTTTGTTCATTGTTTTAAAAAGTTCAAAGATATCACTGTTAGAAAGAAATAAGTTAGTATCATCTGCAAAAATAATACTTGTTAGTTTAGAGGCTTTATTTAAATCTTTAATATAAATTAAGAAAAGGAGTGGACCAAGAATTGAGCCTTGTGGGACTCCACATGTTATAGAAAGACAATTGGTATGATAACCGTCATTACTACTCGAAACAAATTGTTTACGATTTGAAAAATAGCTTTCAAACCATTTTAAAACTTTATTTTTTATTCCATAGTGTTTAAGTTTATAGATTAGAATTTGGTGATCAACCGTATCAAAAGCTTTTGATAGATCAATAAAAAGTCCTAGAGTATATTGTGATTTTTCAAATGATTTTGAGATTTCACGTACAAATTGGATAATTGCATGTTCAGTTGAGCTGTCCTTTTTAAAACCGAACTGATTAATGTTAAGTAATTTATTAACATGAAAATATTTGTATACTCTGTTATATATAATTCTTTCTAAAATTTTTGAAAATGGGGAAAGAACAGAAATAGGGCGATAGTTACTAATAATTGATTTGTCCCCTTCTTTAAAAATAGGAATAATTTTGGCAATTTTTAACAGTTCGGGGAAAACACCTTGATGGATAGAAGCTTTAAAAACTTTAAAAAGAACAACTTTTAGCTGTTCAAAACAATTTATAATAACGTTTACATTTATTTGATCTGCTCTAATTGCTTTATTTTTTTTTAAGGATTTGAAGGCTCTTTCAAACTCTTCAAACAATAATTAAGAAGACAACTCAACTGAACCAATGCAATTATCAATGGGCACTAGAAAATCAGTAAATAAAGATTTGGTCTTTGGGATTTTTTTAGAAAGTGTTGGACCTATTTCGATAAAAAATTTGTTAAATTCTTGAGCTATAGTTCTTGATTCGTATAAACTTTTGTTATCGACTCTAACCATTTGTGGCAGAAAACCTGAGCATGAATTTTGTTTTCCAATAATTTCATTCATTATTTGCCATGTGCGTTTGTGTCATTTTAAAATGTATTTGAAGGATTTGAGTATTTGGGATTATTGAGTAATTGGGAGTAATAATTTTTTTTTAGATTTTTGCGAATTTTTTCAAATAGATTTTTGTAGTCCTTGTAAATTTTTTCGTTTTTAGGTGTTTTTGTTTACAAAAAATTTATATATAGTTTTTGTTTAATTTTGGACGATTTTCTAAAGCCCTTAGTGATCCAGGGTGTATTGCAGCTCTTAGTAGTTATTTTATTTTCAATGATTGGGAAATTAGCATCGTATACAGAAAAAAATGTTTTGTTTGCATTATCATTAAAATTTATGTTATTCCAGTGCAGTAATGAAAGTTGATTTTAGGATAATTAAGGTTAGCCTCATTATAAATGCGTTTTCGAATTACTCTTTGTGCGGTTAAAATTTTTTCAGAGTTTGTTATTATCTAATTTTAGGAATATAGGGAAATGATCTGATATATCGCTTCGCAAAATACCTACTTTTAAATCATTGTTGAAAATATCTAAAGTTATTATATTATCTATTAGAGTTGCTGAATTTATCGTTACTCTTGTAGGTTTCTTTATTAAAGATATTGAACCCGTTTCAAAAATTTCATCATAAAAATTTTTAATTTTAAGATTATCATTATAAAGAAAACAATTCATGTTTAAATCACCAATTATAAAATTTTGCTTTTTTTCAACGGTACCTTTTTTAATAATTTGTTGTAAAAACATGCTAAAGTTTTCGCTAACGCCATCAGGTGGCCGATAACAACAGCTTAGTAAAATTTTTTTTGTTGTTGCAGTAAGTAATTTCTATAGTTGCAATTTCTTTATCGCAGTCAGAAATGCTTATATGCTTAATCATGCCTAATACAATGCTCAAATCATGCCTAAAAAAATGCTTAAATCATGCCTAAAACAATGCTCAAAATTTTCGTGAACATAAATTAAAACTCCACCACCGCGCTTATTTGTTTTCCTTTCCATTGAAATTGTATTAAAATGAGGTAGATGAAACTTATTTAGGTCTTCTAAAGAAATCCAAGTTTCCGTTAAACAAATTATATTAAAAACATGTTTAGTTTCTTCTAATAAGTCTAAAAGTTTTTTAAAATTGCTACTTAGGCTTCTTATTTTGAGGTGGAGAATTGACATTTGATTATTATTTCTTTCATGCTCATTCTTAAATAGAAACCCTTCTAGTTGGCTAGGAAAGTAATATGAACAATCTGAAAATTTATTGTGATAAATATTGTTATCAGAGTCTAAGTTTTCATTTAACGTAGAGTAATTTGTTTTTTGAATTTTAAAAACACGAGATTCAAAGTTTTCATTTGTAGCCATGATTAATATATTTTATTTAAGATTTATTTTAAGGAATGCCCATAAAGTTATTCGTTAAAATTGCTTTTAAAAGAAGTTTTGATATAAACAATTTTGTCATACCTTACCGTAACACTTTCACCATTCAATCGCCTTTCTTTCACTTCAGCGAACAATTTTTTCGAATAGCGACGGTTTCTCGAGAAAAATCTTCGTTCACGAACGTATTTGTGCCTTTGAGTCGATGCAATTTCTTCAATATTCTTATTTTGTCTTTATATTTCTGAAGATTTAATATTATAGTCCTTGGTCGTCCATCGTTTTTTCGTCCAGTGCGGTGAGCTCTTTCAATTTCAACATCTTTTAGTCCAAGTTTTTCAGTGAAGAATGTTTGAACTTTTTTTTCAGTATCCCCCCATAGTTCTTTATCATTCTTAAATTCCTTCAATCCTAAGATTGTTTCGGCGTGATCGATCATCTAAGTTTCGTTGTTTTTCTTTTAATACATTATCTATTTTTGTATGTTCCATTTTTTTATCTAGATATTTTTTGTTAGTAACTATTTTTTCGTCGATAAGTCCTTCATTAAAAATAAGGCTTACCTTTATATCTTCTAATTCTTTTGTTAATTTTTTTATACAATTTGCATTTCTATCAATATTTGCATTTCTATCAATATTTTTCTCTACTTTTTCAAATCTGTGGATTGGCACTGGTGTATTTAATATTAGGCGAATTGCTTGTTTTTATTTTTTAAAGATACACAATAGTCTTGATTAGTCTTGACCAATTTGTCTACGGCGTTTGAATAGATATGGTTTTACTTTATTGTGCACTTTTTTTCATTGTTCATCCCAATCAAGATTCTCATTGAGCATGATTCTAAGGTATTTGTAGCTTCTGACTTTTTCAAGCTCAGAATTGTTGAGTAAGAGAGGAGGTATAACTTGAATATATATATATATATATATATATATATATATATATATATATATATATATATATATATATATATATATATATATATATATATATATATATATATATATATATATATATATATATATATATATATATATATATATATATGTATATTAGGGTGATCCAAAAATGACTAAAAAATGTTTTTTTTACTTTTTGTTATTCCTAAGGTCTAAATGTGTTCATTTATTAAAGAAAAAATTGTACCAAAAAATCAGCCAAATCGGTTAATATTTAGAGGTCGCGCTGGAGCGATTTTTATACCCAATTTTCAAAAGTTCAGTAAAATATTGACCTTCGTTTTCTGTGCACATTTCGGTTATTTACTGTTTGATTTTAATAAAATAAAAACGAAAATAAAGCTCTTATTACGCATAATAATTTTTGTTAAACAACATTTCCTTTTTAAATGCATACCGTGAATGGGGGTGACTATGAACGCTTTTGAAACATTTTTGTATCATAGAAGAAAACTGTTGACGTAATCGCTACCCTTTTTTTTGTAACAGAACATTATACTTTTCAGCTTCCTGAAATATTCCTAGGCCTGATCAGCACTATGCAGTAAACACCTTAACTTTCTGGTTTTATATGACCATATCTGTATTTCCAAAATGGGGTGAGAATGAACAGCCAATTCGGGATGACTTTGAACAATACATGATATTTTAATTTTTTATTTTGTGCGCATTTCAAAGTCCGTTAATTATAGTTTTTGCCTCAAAGTGTTATTTAACTTGTTTAATGTGTTCTTTTTGAAAACTGTGGAAGTAAAACTGTGGAACTTTTGAAAACTGTGGAACTGTTTGAGCAGCCGTGGCGCAGTGGTTAGAGTTCTGGCTCAGAACCCAGAGGTCCGGGGTTCGACGCCAGCTCCAGCTCAACAAGCGACATTGGCACGGAAGGAGGCGTGAACCTCCCGCTAAATGCTCTCCCGCGGTGCTCTATGATAAGACCGTAAGGACTTCTGGGAGCACCTAAATACACACAAAAAAAAAAAAAAGTATAATAAATTAAAATGTTGCCTATACTTTGTTTAATACTCCTAACTAATTTTTTTCTTTTTTACTTTCGAATCATAGTTCCTAAAGTTTGCAGAAGAAAACTTAAATTATTTGTAGAAAATGTCATTTTTAAATGACCATAAAATCTGAAAAAGACAAGTTATACCTTAATTTATAGTTTTATTAGAGCAATATGCATTTGAACTTGATGTGCGCTAATTTTTATAAAGTTTTGATTAGCGGTTTTTAAGATATGCTATTTAGTTTAATTGCCCAAACCAGAGAACCACTATTTGAGACTTACACGAGATGTTTACACTAGGTGAAAAACAAATTTTTTGAGGGCAGCTAAAATTTTACTTCTTCATGTTATATTTAAATCATCTGAATCAAAATAACACACTGTTTAGTTATATCGTGCACTATCCTTCACCAATTAATAAACTTGGTATTGGTGTTCATTTTCACCCCGCTGTTCATAGTCACCCCCGTTCACGGTATTAAAGCGGCAAATTAAATTGCAAACTAAGCCAAATTTCATTATATTTTATTATATTGGTTTATTATATGGTTTAGTTCAGTTCGAGACTTTATCGAGAGTGTTGTGATTCCTGAAATAAAATTACAATAGTTTATCTATTTTGCTTGACTAATAATATTAATTACAGTATTTTAAGAAAGTGATATAATTGCGAGTTTCAACGAAACTAATTTTGTTTGGAAATATAGGTGACAACAAAATATATTTTCATTCATACACTGTATTAAAGAAAACTTAAAATGGCTGCAGTCGCAAAGTCAACACGCAGTTCTACAGCAAAATGGTTAATTGGTCAACCAACATCAATGGTTTCCCATCTTAAGCTTCCAACGATTTTGGAAGTATTAAAATGATTTTTCTTCCACCATGAGGTGAAAGGATTGAGTAAACATGAAAGTTCGGTAACAGTTATCGAATCAACTTGTGAAATTTAGGAAAAAGCTAAAATTCCTACAATTTGAAAGGCTAATGCAGTTACAAGGCTTGAAAAATTTCATAAAGAATATACGGATCTATTAAAAGACAGAAATAAGAAATCAGCTGTTGCTAGAAGCAAAGTAACAGACTTTGAAAAGAGAATTATGAAACTTTTTGATATTGCTCCAATTAATGTTTTTGATTTAATAAAAATTGCTGAAGATCGCGATTTCCTCATAGATCAACGAGATGATAGAAACATGGTCTTGGGTTCCATTGATAAAGATGATGCAGAGAAAGAAGAAAATAAAGTTTGCAGAGAGATAAGTTTGGATAAACGTTTGCAAAAAGAAGCGTTAAGGAAACAACGCTCTGAAGAAGTAGTTGTTCTTGAGAATTCACCTTCGCCTTCAAGTTCTGCTAGTAGCAATCATGATTATATCGTAGTTTTGAAAGGAAAAGATGATGTTGCAGAAAGCTCCGATCTGAAAAGGAAGCGTTCTATAAAAAAGGTTATTACACCTGAAGTTGTCGCTATCTTAGATAGAAGAAAAGTAAGCAATCATGTGGCAATGCGAACTATAGCAGCTACAATGCAAAGTTTAGGAGCTCCCATTGAAGAGTTCTCTATATCTGTTACTACTTTTCATAGGGAAAGAACTGTTTATCGTGAAACTCATTACAATGAAAAAAAAGAAAATTTCAAACCAGATGTACCTCTCGTAGTTCATTGGGATGGAAAAATGATGGCAGACATCGCTGGAAGTGGAAATGTTGAGCGTTTGTCAGTTTTAGTAACAGGGCGTGGTGTTGAAAAACTTCTGGGAGTGCCAAAACTTCCTGATTCAAAAGGAGAAGCCATTGCTACTGCAGTTGTAGCCTCCCTCCATGAATGGGACGCTTCGAATCTTATTAATATATCTCTGGCATGTCGTTTGATACCACAGCTAGCCATACAGGATCTGAGAAAGGTGCTTGTAATTTACTTGAAGAAAAATTAGGAAAAGAATTATTGAATTTAGCGTGTCGTCATTACATTACTGAAATTGTTGCAGGATCTGTGTTTAAAATTTATTTTCCAACAACGTCCGGACCAGATGTTGCTATTTTCAAACGATTTAAACAAGCCTGGAAGAATATCAAGAAAGATGATTTTAGCCCAACAGTGCTAGATGAAGAAGCTGAAAGATATCTTTCAAACGTCTCGATTGAAAAAAAATCGTCTAAAATTAATTACTTAAAAAAACGTTTGCAAGACTCACAACCACGAGATGATTATAAAGAACTTCTTGAATTATGTCTAATATTTTTAGGAGAGCAACCTCCTAGTGGAATAAGATTTAAAGCACCTGGAGCCTTCCATCATGCTCGGTGGATGGCAAAACTTATTTATTCAATTAAAATATGGTTATTTAGAGATCAGTTTAAAATGGTGCAAAATGAATTAAACGCAGTAAGAGATATTAGCATGTTTGCTGCGTTAATATATGTTCGACAATGGTTTACTGCACCACTCAGTGCCTCGGCCCCATTTAATGATTTAGATTTTCTAAAAAATATTGAGGAATACCGTGAAATGAATAAAAATATAGCGACCGCTGCAACCAAGGCAATGAAGCGGCATCTATGGTATTTAAATAAAGAACTTATATTTTTGGCCTTTTTTAGTGATGATGTAGAGATTGAAGTTAAAAGAAAAATGATAACTGCCCTTCAGCTTCATGCGTAGACAATAATAGGCCATCAAAGAAATTAGCAGATATTACAAATGTAATGAGTAAATCCCTTGAGGACTTTGTAACGTGTAAATCACTTTCATTTTTTAATTTCTTAAATATTGACATTTCCTTTTTTGAAGAGGATCCTTCAAACTGGAAAAACAATGAGTCATATGCCGACTCTAAAGAAGTAGTGAAGTCTCTTAAAGTTGTTAATGATTGTGCCGAAAGAGGGGTGAAGTTAGTACAAGACTTTAATGCTGTCTTAACAAAAGATGAAGAGCAGCAAAAGCATGTGCTAAATTTAGTTGCAGAAAACAGGGCTGTCTTACCGGATGCAAAAAAATCAAGATTGAGTGCTAAACAAACCAGGCGACAATGAGCAGCTGTTGTTGTTTAATGTTGTTTAATGTTGTTCAATAAAAATTGTTATGCGTAATAAGAGCTTTATATTCGTTTTTATTTTATTAAAATCGAATGGTAAATAACCAAAATGTGCACAGAAAACGAAGGTCAATATTTTACTAAACTTTTGAAAATTCCGATTTTAGAGGGGTATAAAGATCGCCCCAGCGCGACCTCTAAATATTAACCGATTTGGCTGATTTTTTTGGTACAATGTTTTTTTTCATAAATGAACACATTTAGGAAAAACAAAACCTTACCTTAGGAATAACAAAAATTAAAAAAAAGGTTTTTTTTTTACACGAATTCATTGATATATACAGACATAAATACAATGTTAGTTTTAACTTATTTTCTATTTTTGGTTATGATTTATCTTTTTAGTGACTTAAATTACTTTAAAAATATATTGTTATAATATGTCACTAAAAAAGAAGATAAACCTTACTCGAGATAAAGTAGAAGTATTTCTTGTAGAAAAAGTTAGGAAAAATCTTTCAAGTTATGTACTTCTTACCGGCAAAAAGGTTTTGCAATATTATCTTTATCTGAGAAACTTGAATCCCAAAGTAACACAAACAGTATTAATTAGGTGCCATTTCAAAATTAATTCATTTGAGCTCAGATGTCCCTCACAGGCTAACTGCTGTGTAATGTCTAAGTTGATTAAGTCATGGAATCTTGCAGGGTTTCCCATCATAACATTGGAAAATATCAGGTTAACTATGAATTAAAATTTTATCAATTTTTTTCTAATCTTGATTTCAAAAATTTAAAATGATTTTCTTTTTAAAGAATAAGATTGATAAAATGGTGAACAACTATTACAGGTTAAAGAAGAACAGCCAAAGGAACAACCCATCAGATATAAAAAGCAAAGAAGAATTTTTGGATGAAATATTAAAATGCTTTTGGATAAGTAAAAAAAAAGAAAAACTCATTGAAAATAAAGAAAGACAGGAGAAGGATGTCTAAAGCCAAAAATAAAGATATTGCCTTTATCTTCGACCAACTAGGTAAAAGGATGGGAAGAATAGGAACAAATGATAAAAAGTTTGCATACACTATTAAACGATAACACTAAGCAATGGTAACACTCCATACATTTTAGAAAACTCATCGAGTAGGGAAAACAATTCTCACTATGAATATGTAGCAGATATAAAGAAAAAACTACCTCTGTTGTTTCTTTACCTAAAAATATTTAAAAAAAAAACAGCTCTCTCAGCAATAGTTGAAGGACTTTCAGTTAGAAAACACACTGCAGTAGTGGCAAGTGTTATTGCCAATGCAGGAGGTGATGTTTCTAATTTTTCACTATCTTCTTCAACTGCATTTAGAATTGCAGAGAAAGTTGTTACTAAAGGAGGACCTATGATAAGAAAATACATTACTGATCTTGTTAAATCTTCATTATTACCAATAATTCTCCACTTTGATGGAAAGCTTGTTAAGGAGTTCACAAATGGAAAAGAATATCAACATGAAAGAATAGCTGTTTCCTTCAGGATCGATGGACAGACAGAGCTTCTTGGTATTCCTCATTTAAACTCTTGCACTGGAGAAACACAGAAAAATGCAATCATGAAACTTCTACATCAATTTTGTATTTCTGATAAACTGCAAAGATGCGTTTTTGATACCACTTCTGTAAATACTGGTAACAAAAAAGGTGTGTGCATTAGATTAGCCGCAGAACTTGACAGACCTCTACTTCTCTTAGCTTGTAGACATCACATCTATAAAAGGCATATTATTCACTGCTGGAACATTTATCCAAGCAGTAAAACAAGTGGTCCAGATAATCCTTTGTTTAAGAAACTCAAAGAAGTTTGGAACTCAATAAATCAAAATGCCATTGTGCTAAAAAAAGTAAAAATTGAAGATATTTGGCTACAGAAACAAATCAAGGAAGCCTTGTCTTTTTCTCAAAATATTATCAGGATGAAAACAATGAAAAAGGTATTTAAAATTCTGAATTTACTAAATATTTTAGTACCTTTTTTTAATAAAATAAATTTATTAAATGAGCAGTTTTATTTAGGATGGATGTAGGTGTGATTATCTGGAGTTAGCAGAGTTAACAACAATGGTTTTATCTGGAGTTGAACAGTACAGAATAAGAAACCCTGGGCCTGTACATCATGCCAGATATATGGCAAAGGGAATATACTTTCTGAAAATGTATCTCCTTCTAGACAACATTCCTTGCTTGACAGATTTTGAGAGGAAAGAAATAAACGATATAGCATTTTTCACAGCTGAATTTTACACTGAGTGGTTTATAAGAGCTGAAATCCCAGCCATTGCTCCATATCAGGTGCCGATTTTTATATTTTCCAAGATTTTAAATCAACTTAGTTTAAATTTTTATTACTTTTTTTATATGAAAATATTTCATAGTCTATAATATTTTACGATATGAAAGCTCTTTGGCAAATGATGATATACTTAAAATTCAATCCTAACCAGGCAAATCCTGTTATTGAATCTCTGAAGAGACACACCTGGTACATAAATCCATTTATTGTTGTTATGTATCTTGCTGAA